CGACAGAACCTCAAGCGTCCGAACCGGTAGTCGAAGCGCCGGCCGCTCAACAAACTGCCGATACGCCTGTCCCGGCAGAGCAACCGGCGCCCCAACCCGTAGATGACGTACAGAATCAGGTATTTGTTGCACAGTTTTGCGATTAATTGATAGGAAAGGGATCTTTTGACTCACTCTTATAGGCTGACAGTCCACCCGCGGATCAGCCATCGGAAGCTCCCGTCGACGTGACCGACACTCCCCTCCCCAGCGAACCGGCCGCCACTCAACCGGTTGTTCCCATTTCGACGTAAACGACACCCAAATTGATACAAAAATTACTTTTTTATGTTATGTTAATAATAATGAATTGAAAACAACACTCACTTCGCGGTACGTCTTAAGACTTTTTTTGACACAAATGGACTTAATGTTGAAAATTAATGGCAATCCCAATGATTTTGACGCGAATATGATATATAGTTTAGAAATAAATATATGTTTTGCGAGAATATTCTGTGGTTTTTGTAGAGAAACCAATGTTTTAATGACTAAATTAATTACGAAACACATATTGTGTTAAAGTTGTATAAAAATAATGGTTTGTTTTTATGTGTAATTCATTAAAAAAAAGTTTATTCTTATTATTAACACGAATCCGAAACTGAACTGTATTTTTGAAAATTTTGATTTCAAAATAAAAAAGCTTTTTAAACCCCTTATAAACTAATTGAACAAAAGTGTAAAACGTGTGCACACTATTCACTATACAGTACACATAATTCTTAATAAATAATTATTTGTCACTTTAAAAAAGCTATTCATTATATACATGAATACATTATTACCGTATTAATAATTTAGTGAACACACAATTCCTATAGCAGTACCGGTATAAAAGGGATTCATTCACAATATTGTACTGTAATTACTGTACTTTTGAATCGTTTACAATAGTTGTGTTGAAATGATCCATAAAATTGTGATTATATTTCAAATTAATCTCAAAATAGCGTATATTCTGCGAAACAAATCCTTTA